GATTTTAGAGTTTATTATCTGGGAATGGAAATTCAATGTATCTTGTTCCGGTCTAAGATGAACCGATGACAATTCATAACATGTAATTATGTAACACATACGTATTGTATATAAGTATAAATTACTGGAATATCATTTTTTTAAATTTATTGATCTAATCTTAATTTTAAAATTTCTCGGGATAAATAAATGAACAATAAGTACAATCAACACTTCCAGTTGAACAAAGATTCTAAACGGTATAAATCAAAATTATACTAAGAGATTAGGAAAAAAAAATTTGAAAAATACAATTAAAATTCAATATTTAATTTTTGAAATAGATAAATTTATATAGGCACAGTTTTAAAAATGAATACCAAAACTGAAAACATTACATATTTTTTACCTGCTAGGCATATAGTTCCTATATACTTATGTTTTTAAAAATAATTATTAAAATTATAAAACGATAGTAGGCTATTTATAAGTCATTATATAATATTATATGCCCATGTGTATATTTTATTTAATTGTTGAACTGTAATAGCAAATAAAAAAAGAACGATAGTTGGCCAATAGTAAATTAAAAATCAAAGAAAATGTATAATTTCACTCTTTACCGCAATAAATTCTTTGATTTAAATTTGTTTGAATTAATATTTTTACTTAAATCACTAAACGAATAAATAAATTACATTGCATAAATTAATATACATTTAAATGTTTACAACTTGTATGTTATAAATCGACAAAAAATTTAACCGATAAAATTTATTTTAATTATATAGTAAACCTACCAAGGCATTTACATTGTAATATAATGGTCAAATTAAAATTAACAAACATGTGTGTACTTACTATAATAGTGTCTTATAAATATTGGTCTGAACGAGTAATTCAATTTGTACGTCAACTCAACTGCCTTCGTCGGACGAAACTTCAGTATTGGTTCTCGGCAATTAAGTTCGCGTAAACGTTATAGGTAGAAGCTATTTATATTGTTGTACAAAAAACAGATTTTAACTTCCTCCTGAGCGGCCAATTATCAACGGTACCACAAGAGCGGTGTAAAAATGTCGTTTGCCGGCAAATAACGAAAACCAGTGCCAACAACATAAAACGATCATAGCTCGTCATTTTTAGGTTAGCCAATACCCGATAACTCCTATCAACTACGACTACCAAACAAACAACGTTCCTTTTCTATTCGTTCATTCCCTGTGGACCGTATA